TAGTCTACACTCCTAGTCCTAGTGTCCCCCTTCATAATTCTTATAATAATCCCCTAACCCCCTTTGTAACTCCCCCTTAAGGAGTTTCACATTGAATCTGACATTTTTTGCATCCCGACCCTTCTCAGATACGATCACTCCATTCCAAATCTACCGCTCTCATGTCAGGCTACTAGTAGCAGTGAAGGCCAGCACTCCCAAACATTTCTTGTGTATGCCGATTGCACTGCTCAATAACTTTGGTTTCAGAGTCTCCGGCGTAAAGACAAGACGTTTCTCAGAGATGTTGGGGGTACTCATTAGGGGGGATGCTATAGGGATCATACTGACAGGGTCCCAAAGATTCCCGAAGAACCCTCAACCTTTAACCCTAAACCCTAAACCCTTAGCCCCAAACCCCACACCCCAAGTCCTAAGCCCCAGACCCTGCACCCTAAACCCAAATCCCCTAAACCCGGCCCAAAATCCCCTAAACCCAAGCCCCCTAAACCCAAGTCCCCTAAACCCAAGTCCCCTGAACCCAAGTCCCCTGAACCCTAGGACCCTTCCAGGCCCTTTTTCCTGCTCCGTACGTCAATGGAGGCCTGCGAGGCCGAAGGTGCTACCTAGGCGACTCTTTCGCCTTGCATTTTAAGGTGGGTAGCGTAACTTTTTGGTGGTTGAAGATTATTTAGGGTGTAGGGTTTAGGGTTTAGGGTTCAGGGTTTAGGGTTTAGGGTTTAGGGTACTTTTTGGTGGTTGAATATTATGTGGTAATTGTTCAGAATACCTGTCCCCAAAAGGCCATAATGTAGGTTCCGTGTTTGATTAGGATCCCCTTTTAAGGAAGTGTATTCCCAATGGTCCCTTCTTTACAAGGACCTTTAGAACAACCCCCATATATTCCCTAAATAGGGTTTAGGGTTTGGGGGCGTAATTTTTGGTGGTTGAAGATCATATCCTTCCTATAAAGTACTATACATCTTTGGTGTCCATATAGGGTTTTAGTGGATTTAGGGGTCCCTTTCAAGGGGCTATGGGGGTTATACAGGGGTATATAAGGGTGGTATATAGGGGTATATAGGGGTATATAGGTTTCAGGGCTTAGGGATTCCCAAAATTGGGGGGGTTCCACTTTGGGTGTGCCAATAATGAGGACTATAGTATTTTTGGGTCTATATTGGAGTTCCCTCATTTTGGGAAACTACCATATCCTTCCTATAAAGTACCATTCCATCCTTCTTCCAAAATGCCATGCCCAAAAGGAGGGTATAGTCTTACTCTGTATGGGGGACCTTAGCTTATGTCTGAAAATGCAACACCGGTGGAGCGCATGGCTTTTGATAAGTGGTCAGACATCTTCTTGCAGACTGCACGCCACCTTTTCACACCGAAGTGTGATCTGGGTAGTTCCCAAAATTAGGGTCCCATTTTGGTACAACCTATAACCAAAAAAGGGCCAATAACTTGGAGAACAACCCATCTCGCATCCACCGCCATAACTCCCGAAAATCGGCGGCAGATCAGCAACAGTTGATGGTAAACAGTGGAGCATCTAGAACGGCCGCTGGGGGCGCTCTGAAACAGCTTGTCCAGTTTGGAGGGGCTCCTGTTTAGCGCATCGCCTGCTGAAGAAATGGTGCCAGCGGCTTCATCCGCTATAGCTGTCCACATGTTCCAGTTTGGGCTACAGGTAAGCTATCTGGCCATCGTGTACTAACAACGGGTGATTGCAAATAATGTCAATCTAAGAGGCATTCAAATCATTGACACTGCCATGGCAGCCCTTGGGGTTCAAGGTTGGGTTTAGGCTTTAAGGTTTGGCTTTAGGTTTAGGCTTTGGGGTTGAGGCTTTAGGGTTTAGGCTGTAGTGTTTAAGTTTTAGGGCTTAGGTTCGGCTTGCGTAAAGAAAACCGGAGGGGCGCCATGGCCTACACTCGCTCGCATACGACCATGGCCCCGTGTAGGTGAGGAAATCAGTCGGCCTCCCGTATGACCTGACAGAACACTTCACCGAGAGACAGCAAGCTAGCTGGTGGTTTCAATAAGGGTGAAATTTTGGGTTCAGAGTTTAGGGGTTAGGGTTCAGGGCCCCAAAATACAATACTCCTTATTGTAAGGACTAAGGACCTTCAAAGAGGGGCCCCTAATTTTCGGAAAATCCCAGATACAATGAGCGCTCTTTGGGTCCAGTGTGGATCCCCTAAACCCTGAACCCTAATAAACTCTGAACCCAAATCCCCTAAACTCTGAACCCTAAACCCTCAACCCAACATCACGAATCCTAAGCCCAAATCCCCTAAAACCCTCAACCCAACAGCCCCTAAAACCCTAAACCCTAAACCCCAAACCCTAAATCCTAAACCTTTACCATGCCAGCCTCGAAGAAACCGCCCCACTTCAGCCCTCCCTGGATGGCACGGCCGCTGATAGTGCCCGGCCTGGCTATACGGGTTTCTATTAGAGTTTAAGGTTTAGGGCTTAGGGTTTAGGGCAAAAGGTTTTTTTAATACCCCTCGGACTTTTGTGTCCGCACGATGTGCAGGGGGAAAATCAGTTTGAGGTCTTCGCTCGGCCTTGCACCACTGCCCAAATCACCATCGTGTCACTCAGATTTTCTCTTGAGCAATATCCTAACATTGATAACTATTGAAGGGTTTAGGGTTTTGGGTCTAGGATTTATGCTTTGGGGTTGAGGGTTTAGGATTTACGGGTTGAAGGTCTTTTGGGGGTTGTTTAGGGGTTATATTAGGGGCTATTTAGGGGTTGTACCTAGGGAAATAAGGGGGTGAAGAGTCCTAGGGGGAATACTAGGGGTTTCATGGGGTTAGATAAGGATTATATGGGAGTTATACGGAGGTTATTTTGGAATATTGCCCCAATAATCAACAATAATATGAACAAGAAAATGCACAACGCAATGCTAACTGTGATTACAGACTGTTAGTATATACCGGACCCCCAAGTTACAGAAACCCCCGTGTCATCGAGGTCACAGCCCAGCACCATTGAGGGTCCCGTTGAGCACAGTCTCTTCGTCCTGTCGCACTTAAGGGTTTTAGGGTTAGGGTTTAGGGTTTAGGGTTTAGGGCCCATCATGGAGCCGGTAGATAGCTTTTTTGGGGTGGTTTAAGCTTTAGGCTTAGAGTTTATATGTAGGTACCACAGACCTTTAAAGGTCTCCAATATGTCATGCCCGCAGCCCAGCTGAACCCTGCGAGGCTGTCCCGGAAGATGATGCCGTCTTTCTCAACAATCACCTGGGTCTATTGTCAATCTGAGTTCATAGCATGAAGTTAACAAACTATGACTGCATGGGTGTTTCCCAAAAATTAGCATACCATTTTGAAGTGGTCCCAATGGTAAGGATCATAGCATTTGAGGGTCTATATTTGGGTCCCCCTATTTTGGGAAACTACCTTAACCCTAAGCCCTAAATAGTAGTTGCTATTGTCTTTTCCATCATCCCAACATAGCCCCTATATGACCCCAATATAACCCTAAATAATAATTTCCATGTTCTTTTCCATTAGACCCCTAAACCCCTAAACCCTAAATCCTGAACCCTAAATCCCTATGTGGGGGTACATATTGGGGTCCGCTTATTTTGGGAAAATAGCATGTGCGCATGGTCATGCAGCAAGCCTTGCAAGGGCCCTCCCAAGACTTGCCAGCCTGGCAGGAAGAGATAGATGATATATATATATATACATATATATATATACCATAATACATTATAGTAGATTATATTACATTATAGTATAGTATAATACACTCTAGTGTATTATCATAGCTTATCGTATATTATGGTATATGATATACTAGATTATAATATGTTGTAGTACATTTTAGTATAATATAACATATTATAGTATACTATAATATACTATAGTATGTTATAGTATATTGTAATACATGCTCGTACATTATAGTATATTGTAATATATTATGGTATATTACAATATATTGTGGGACACAGTTCCGACATCAGTTTCCACATTCCTTTCCATCTGTTTCTCCCGTCTTGGGGTAACATCCCTATTATATCAGTGAAGCACCCCTATACTTATTGCAGTAACTTCCCCCTAAACCCTACACCCTAAACCCTAAACCCCATATTCGTCATCAGGAACGTAGCTGCCTGCAGCTTCTTGTTGGGATCCGTGATCTTCCAAGCGCCCTTATCGTCTCCAGGTCCTACCTGATGACAAGGACATGCCAGGACTGAAAAGAGGGTTTAGGGGTTTAGGGGTTTAGGGTTTAGGGTTTAGGGGTTTAGGGTTTAGGGTTTAGAGTCAACCCCCCAAGGGCGTAGGGTTTAGGAAAAGGATGAGGACCGTTTTATAGCCTCATAATAGTTGTAGAGTCCTACTTTTTGGGGTTTGGGGTGGCCAAAAATCCTGCTATTTCAGGCCTGCCTCAACAACAAGGTCGAACTTCTGCCGAGCCGTCAACACCTCAGCAACAGAGTGATTGTACAAGCTTAGCGCTACGATTTTGAAAGGTTCCCATAATCAAGATGTATGAAGGATGCCCCCTGTTTCGAAAACTCCCATATCTACCTGAGGATTTGATTTTCTGACCATACATCCCCATGTTCCCCTACCCAGTTTCCATTTCATTTCCCAGTTTCTTCGCCATTTATCATTTGATGGTCAATTTCTGGGGATATTGTCCCCAGAAATTGAAAGCATCTCTCTAGGGATGTGTAGGGAGGAGATATTACCCCTACAATGGAAAAGAAAATGACAAACAAATGGGAACTGGAGTTCTACAGGGATTTACAGGGAGTACCCTGAGCCCTAAACCCTAATCCCTAAACTAAAGACAACCGGTCCCTTTTAGAGGGTCACCATTACAAGGATGGTAGTGGTACACGAACCTGTCAGCCATAAGCTCTCTACTCTAAACACAACCGAAAATCCTAGCTTTAGGATTTGGGGTTTAAGGTTTAGGGCTGAGCGAATCCTAAGCCCTAACAAGTCAGCAACTGTAACGCTGCCCGCATGCATTGCACACGTGCCGTAAACCTTAAACCCTAAACCCAAAGCCCTAAACCCTAAACCCTGCGTAAACCTAAACCCTAAGCCCTCAACCCTAAAGCCTAAACCCTACGTAAACCCTAAACCCTAAGCCCCGCACAGGGTGCTTCAGCCAGCCCACGTAACGGTCCCCGGCCTGGACCTTCAGGAATGGCGGCCAATATTGAATATAGGGATTACATACGGATTACAGGGTTTAGGGATTATAGGGTTTAGGGATTATGGGGTTTAAGGGTTTAGGGGTTTAGGGTTTAGGGATTGCATAGAGATTATAGGGTTAAGGGTTCAGGGGTTATGTGCAGCAGGGACTACATCTACACAGGGCTTAGGGAGGGTTTAGGACTTAGGACTTGGCGGTTGAGGTTTGGATCCACGGATATTATAGGGGTTATAGGGAATATATAGGGGTTATATGGGGATAATGGAAAAGAAAATGGAAACTACTATTTAGGGTTTAGGGTTTAAGGTTTTCCAAAATTAAGGATACCTACTATAATGGAGAATCAAATGGCAAAGAACATTGAAAATGAAATGGAAACTAGGGGATATAGGGTGTATATATAATAATGGGTTATATGGGGGATTATAGGGTATATATTGGGGTTATATAGGGGTTGTAAACTGGGATGATATGGGGGGCTAGTAGGAATGATCCTGGTAAGTTGTCAAGGCGATGGCCCCTCCATAGCATAATACGGTCCCGAACATTCAGGGTACCTAAACAAGAACCCTACCTTGACAGCCTACCATGCGACTATTCGAAGTCTGAATGATCTTAATGACTGCCAGCATCATTAGACTCCAAGCTAGGTCTATACGAGTCTAGGACTTTAGTAAGCATTCTTGTCAATTATTCCTCAGGGGTAGACTGTAATAAAAACAGGAACAACGCCTGAGGAGACTACAGTAAAAGTGTAAGCTTCGAGGTCCTGACCTTCTGCACTGCTTGCTTTGGGGGTGGTGGAGCTTCCTCCCCCTCCTCTGCCTCGCGAGCAAGCTGCTTCGAAAAGAGAAAATAAACTGAAAAGTAAATACTTGATTCAGTGAGGACTTTGGCGAGCCCTGCAGCACATCTGGAAACATCGTCCATTACAACGCAGCAGACTGCAGGCAGCAGTGCTTTCAGGTTTTGGAAGTTTCTGCGCACCACAGCATACAATCGAGTCAAACAGCTCTCAGAACCCCCGAGTATGAACTTCACAAAGTCAGTTCCACCAGCCAACTAACAAGCCTCTCACGTCTAGCCCCGAAATTCACAATGCGGGCCCTCATGCACACGACCGCCGCGCGCGTCTTTGCCGGCCGTCTGAGAGCAGAAATCATTTCATGGTGGCATAGTGGTGGAGATGCTTGTCACCGGGCCGGTGTAAGAGGGGTACCAGTTGCCTGAGAATATGAGACGTTGAAAGCCTAAACTCTAAATCCTACATAGTAGTCTCCACGTTCTTTTCCATTATTCCCTCGCTAACCCCTATATAACCCCCATATAACAGCCATATGACCGTATGTTGATGCACAAGGGGGAGTTCTTCATCTGCCGGGACCACTGCGCAGGCAAGGTCTGTAGAAAGCCTTGCATGAATTAGGGTTTAGTTTTTGTTTTAAGGGTTTAGGGTTTGGGGTTTAGGGTCTGCAATTCATGTTGCAGCTTTGAGCAAGGGCACAACATCTCTGTACAGCCGCAGGAATGCTCTACATTCAAAGCCTCATATATAGTTTCGATGTTCTATTCTATTTGATTCTCCATCTCTGGGGGTTAATATCCCTGAGCCCTAAACCCCAAAAACGTATTGCCCTCAGCGAGAACCTAAGAACCTGCAATAGTTTAGGGTTCAGGGTCTAGGGTATAGGGATTCACCCCGAACTTATCGGGACTCCCCAACAGTGGATGAAACCCATATGACTAAACTCCTAGTATCCCCGTTAACATCCCCTATCCTAGCCCCCTATACAATCTCCTATATAAACCCCATTTAAGGAATTTCCTGACCTCCTAGTATCCCCCTTAACATCCCCTATACTAGCCCCCTATACAATCCCCTATATAAACCCCATTTAAGGAATTTAGACTATAAATCATATAGCACCTATGGCGGTTTCCATAAACAGTGGCCCCGATATACACCCCAAAACACTGTGATACTCCCAACAAGCAGCCCCCGGTTTTTTTGGAGGGTTTCGGGTTTAAGGTTTAGAGTTTAGGGTTTGGGGTTTAGGGTTTAGGGCCCCCGTAACCCCCAAATATTCTCCCAGCTTCCATTTCACGTTCGTTGTTCTTTTCCATTTGATTCTCCATTATTAGTTTTGCAATATCCGTGGATCCCAAACCCTCGATCCTATTCCATAAGCCCTATACATTCCCTATATAAGCCCATAATATATCCCAGCACCCTATATAATCACTATGTAACTCTACAACATCCTATGTAAACCTAGTTTCCATTTCACTTTCCACTTGCTTGGCAGTTTGGTTCTCCACTATTACGGGTAATATCTCCAGATGTCCCCTAAACCCTAAGCCCCAAACCCCTTGTGCCGTCTCCTGCCTCTTTGCCACCACGGCCGCTGCCACCACTGCGGCAGCTGCTCCGAGCGCTGAGGTGCCTGAACTTCAGAAGGCAAAGGTTTAGGGTTTAGGGTTGAGGGTCAAGGGGTTCAGTGGGATACACAGGGATATGGATTTAGGTTTACAAAAAAACTGGTAGGAGTCCACGAACCCGAATGCAGACACACGACACGCAATTGGCATAATTCACGTAAATGAAACTTGTCAGGCACAACATGATGCGCAGAACACACGACAAAGACACACCCTTCTCGTCTCTCCACTCACCACTCTCCATTCTCCACACTGCATTCTCCACTGTCCCCTCTCCATCCTCCACTCTCCACTCCATTCTCCACACGCCACTGACCACTTCACTCTCTGAACCACTGTCTGTTCCACTGTCCACTCCACTTTCCTCTTGCTTCTCACAGCTCTACTCTCCACACTCTGTTCTCCACTCTCCAGCCTCCACTCTCCACACTGAATTTTCTCTCACTCTGCTCTTGTTCTACTGTATTGTATGCTGCACACTCCACTTTCCACCTCACTTTCCACCTCACTTCCCTCTCCACTGTCCACACTCCACTCTCCACTTCACTTTGAAGGTCACTTTACTTTCCACTCTATTCCCCAAGGACGAGCCAAAGCAACGACATGTTCACATTTTTGACACGACCGAACACGAGGAACCCTAAGCCCTAAACCCGAATTTGTTGGTCACCTCCTGGACTCCCGGGCCCCTAACGCTTAAGACGGCAACCCTTCTGCAGAGCATTCCGGAAAAAATGAGGGTCCCTTTGTCAAAACCCCTCTCATTTGGGGTACATCTCACGGACCCCTATTTTGAGAGATACCTGATGTTGCTTCAGTGAGCGTAGCTGAACTCTCTTCAAAAGAAAGTTCAATCTTGGCCTTACTGAGTGCCAGGACAAGTCTCGGTGCATGTGTTCAGTAACATACTATGCGGAAATTAGGAAATGATGAATACGCTCGAGCTAGAACTTCTAATGTCGTATTGAAATATTTGGATTTTGATCGTGCCTCCTGGCAATATATGTGGATTGTTTGGGGGAAATCTTCGGGATTGCCCCTCAGCAATCTGCTGACCATATTTCCATCATGCGATCTCTCAAATATTCTAAAACTTGCTGGTGGGAGTTTCCCTTGTTTTCCCTGCAAATAAGGGGAGACCCCATACAGGGGCATACATATACACACATACAATACCCCGTAGAATGCCTCTATGCATTCACCACCGCAATAAACCTGACTCGTACTACCTTGATTGTCTCAAGACATTTAAAAAGGCACCTGACAGCCGCTCTACCCATGCTGGGTCTAGGGTTTAGGGTTTAGGGTTTAGGGTCATGCTGACTGACGCACACAACGCTGCACATCTCATCAACTGAAAAAAACACCATCAAATCTGGGAGATATTCAGGGACCCTACAAGAAATTCAATTCGTATGGCTTTGTAGCGAATAACTTTACACATGAAGGGATTCTGGTCAATAAAAAGATCACAGGAATGTCAAAAAGAATTACTAGTGGTTAGTAGGGAATAGGGGAACATGATCCCTATATAATCCCTATATGACATACTCCTTATTCCCTACCCCAAACCCTAAACCTCAAAGCTAAACCCTACATGTATTCCTTTTTGTCCTACGAACCGCTTGTAAGAAAAATGGGTGCCTCGTGCTGCAGATGCCGCAGGCTCGTGCGCCCGCCTGGGCTCCGATGCAAGCCTGCGCAGCTCTGATAACGTATATAGTATAAGGTTAGGGTTTAGCGTTTTGGGAGGACCCCCCACCCTGTAATAGAATATAACAGGACCCTCATATAGTAATTGTTATCCTGGTCCTCCTAGTGTATAGGGTTAAAGGGGTATATGTAGGGTTATATGGCTACATAACCGACAATACCCTATATAACCCTATAGAATCCTACACAATCCTATATAATTCTATATAATCGGGTTTTACAGGGCTTTACAAGGTCATATAGGGTTATATATTCCTGGTGCTTAAGAAGAGGTCCAGTAGTGGATACAAAGACGATTAAAAGCGTACACACTATATAGTGAAAGTAGGGACTATTCTAAGATTATATACGTTCATTGGGATTATGCAAGGATTATGGTATATTCTGACAATAGCCAACCTGAATCCCAAACCCCCAAAACCCCCAAACCACAAACCCCTAAACGCTTAAACCCTAAACCCCCAAACCCCTAAACCCTAAAACGCAAGTTATTTTCAGCCGTGGCCTCTGGGGAACGGCCTGCACTCCGGGGAGGGCAAAGGCCTTCCGAGGGAGAAATGAGGCTCATTGAGGTGCACTCAACTCGAGAAGGTTGGGGCTCAGGGTTTAGGGTTTAGGGTGTAGGGTTTAGGATGGTTTAGGGTTCAGGGTTTAGGGTTTAGGGTCCCTTGAGAGGGGATGTAGGGGTATATAGGGGCCATATAGGGTTGCATAGGTATGTATGGCGTTTAGGGCTTCCCAAAATAAGGGGCACCCATTTTAGGGGTCCCCATAAAAAGGACTATAGTATTTGGGTGTCTATGTTGGGGTCCCCCTATTTGGGAAACTACCAAATCCCCTGTGAACGCTGAGCTGTCAAACCTCCGCGAGCAGCGCCATGGCGACCAAACCCCTAAGCGCACGGTCTGGAACCCATGCAGCCCTGGTCCTTGAGCAACCAGCAAGATGGTCATGCGCGGTTTAGGATCTAGGGTTTAGGGTCTGGGTTTAGGGTTTAGAGTTTAGGGGTTCAGGGTTTAGGGTTTAGGGGTTTAGATTTTAGTGTTTTCAGGTTTAGGGTTTAGGGTTTTGAGGTATGTTAACTCTGACAGTGTTGAGAGGAAATAAACCAATGCTACCAGCTACCATCTTGGCGCAGAATTTGCAAGCCCAAATCTAAGTCTTCAGCAGGGAATGCAACCCTAAATAACCCTGTAGAATCCTAGATAACACGTTATGATGCCGATGTAACCCCATATGACCCAATTGCAGAACCAGGATTGGCAGCTCTGCAATCTACAGCTGCAGATAGCATTGCTCAGACACTCTGTGCCTACCACGATTTGGGGTCCAATGGAGTGGTCCGCAGCAGGGAATAAGACAGGAATAGGGGAACTTAGGGGCAATATAGGACTATATAGGGATTATATGAAGGTAATAGAGGAAATACGGGTATTTACTATACAGGGATTACTTTCTCCTCTACGCACTGTTTTCTGCTGACTGGTGGCACTGAAAGCGGCACCAGGAGAATATAATCCCTCTGCATATGTATCCCTGTTTCCAATATGACCCGTATATAGTCCCTATAACTCTATATGCGCCATAGTCCAAACTCCTAGTATCCTTGTCAGTAGCCCCTACAATACTCCCCTATACAAACTGTGATGCTCCCCTATATAAAGCCCTTTCAGGAGTTTAGGCGATAGTTCACATTACCCAAAACCCTAAACCCTAAACTCGTACGTAGTTTCCCTTTTCCCATTATACCCAGATAGCCCGATATAGCCCCAGCTCAGACCCTAAACCCTAAACACCCCCCTATAGAGTCCCTATAATACCCTATATTACCCTTGTATTCCCTCGTTCTACGTAGGACACAGGAGGCCCGCATTTTCGATCGCGCTTGCATTCAGAAGCCCATCACGGGAGCAGTCCGAACCTCGGCGAAACTTAAGGGTTTAGGCTTTATGTACTATAGGGTCATATTGGGGTTATATTGGGGTAATGGAAAATAAAATGGAGACTACTATAACTATAGGGTTTAAGGTTTAGGGGATATGTACAGGGATCATGGAAAAGAAAATGGAACGGTTTCTGCACTAGAAAGTCAAGAATGCAAGCTGCTGAGGCTCGCGCTCTTTGGCAAGCTCGGCCAATTCACCACCGGCCTCCATGCAGGCAAAGCCCGGATGCTAACTTCTGTCACATCCCTAAACCCTAAACCCTATAAACTTATAGTAGTTTCCATATTATTTTCCATTACCCCAATATAACTCCAATATGACCCTATATAATATATCAGTTTCCATTTCATTTTCCATTACGCCATTATAACCCCAATATTACCCCGCGGGGACATAGTTACAGGTCCGACCGGAGCGCAAGCGTTGCGCCGAACTCTGACTTGTTTGCAACCGACGGAAGATGTAATCCCTATCTGGTACATACCCATATTCACTGCATTACTCCTATGTAGTCTCTATATAACCCTACATGACCCCTATCTAGGCTCTATATTACCCCTATATTCCCTCATCGTCGAAGACCTTCTGCGCGTACTGCAGCCACAGCGGCTCCTCTTAGGTGGCAAGCGGAGCACATGCACCGGGAATTGCTCGCATCATCTACAACACTGGCCATGCCCACACTCAGACTTGGTATATGAGCTATAGTCTAAACTCCTTAAAGGGGGGATTGTATAGGGGACTGCTTTAGGGGCTGTTAAGGGGGATACTAGGAGTTTAGACTATAGCTCATATAGGGTTTAGGGCTTATGTAAAGGTGTTTATTGGCCTCATTGGGGGATCTATTTTCTAGATCCTCCCCGGGGTCTGGGCATCGTTGACTATGCTGCCAATCCTCGAATGAAGAGTCTGGCTCGCGCAGCAGGAAGTCCCGACTGCACGCAAGAGAGAGGATGATGGTAGTAATAACAGTAATACTACTAGTAGTACGAATACTAGTGATAGTTGCAATTAAAATGATAATATAAATAATAGTAATAATGACAATACTAATAGGAAACCAGGGAACATCGAACAAGGCAGAAGGTGTCCAATGTCAGAATGAAAGCTGGCAGAACACCCTCCAGGCTTTAACTGGCTGCAACAGATCTTCGGCCGCGCCTCACTTTGACGGGAATCCAAATCCCTGCGCTTGGAGGCAGCTCGGCAACCTGTTTCCCATGTCACAGCTATGGGTTTAGGAGATTATATTTACTACCAGGTACTACCACTCTCACATCAAAGGCTCAGTATTCCACAGTGCTGCAAATGGCGCTGCCATTGCAGCATTCCAGGCACACCGACTTAAGACTTGAGACCCACAATGTCAAACCAGGCGATCTCGGGTTGCCTGATCAGCATCCCACATCACGCTGTTCCAAAAGAACTTGAAGCGCAGGGAGGAACCTGGCCCCTCGGCTTGATGCAAGGCTGCAACCAAGACAACTTACCCTTGGTTAGCTGGGAGTGAAGGAGTGGCAAAAAAATTGAAACTACCATAATCGGGTTATATAGGAACTACTATAAGGATCCATTACCCCAATTATAGTAGTTTCCATTTTCTTTTCCATTATCCCACTATACCCCCAATATACTATAGTAGTTTCCATTTTCTTTTCCATTATCCCAATATAATCCTAAACCCCAAACCCTAAACCCTACACCCTAAACCCAGTAGTTTCCATTTTCTTTTCCATTATCCCATTCCTTCATTCCTAGCTAACAAAAGATAAGCCAAGACGAAGCTCACAGATGCTCGCAAGCCAACAGTTTTGGTACTGATAGCTATATAGAGATTATATTGGGATAATGGAAAAGAAAATGGAAACTACTATAGTACATTGGGGTTATATTGGGATAATGGAAAATGAAATGGAAACTACTATATTACCAAAACTGATAGCTGCCGGGTTCCAGGCTGTGTCAATCCACTGTGTGGCAATTTTGAGGTTGGTCGTGTAGTCACCACCGCCACTGCGTGCGAGCATTGTCAAGCACAGCTTCCATGCGAGGTCCACTAAACTGGCACTTTGTGGCAGAGACTGGCCTTTGGTTAGCTAGGAATGAAGGAATGCATCCTCATAGGGTCCCTATATAACCCCATTATGGTAGTCTCCGTGTCCTTTTCCATTCCTTCATCCAAACAAAATCCAGGAGACAGCTCACATCTTTTTGCGCGAGTCAGACCCAGAAGCCCCTGCTCTCATGCCGTGTTGCACTCAGAGCATAGTTGGCCGAGAGCTTCTTGCTGCAGCACCTGCCGGTAGCCAGGAAAGCCCCATTACAGCAACTTAGTTTAAATTCCAATATACTATAAGAAGGAAACCCTATCATATTTACTATATACTCATAATATGGTAACCTAGACCCTCAACCCTATGTACCAAAGTTATGGCAACTTAGTTCAAATTCTTTAACATCAACCCAGACTGGTGCAGGTCAGCACTCAGGCTCTGACACCGCTCTTTTCATTGAAGGAGCCCTTGTCATATGGGGATAATGGAAAAGAAAATGGAAACTGGGTTATATTGGGGTTATATTGGGATAATGGAAAAGAAAATGAAAACTATGACCACATGGCGGTTTCCCCACCGAAAAGGACCCCCAAACGGACCCCAATACACTAGAATCCTTGTAATCCCTAATTTCTGAAACCTGGATATCCCTATATAACCCCTATATACTCCTATCACAGGGGTCCACCAGCCAGCCGAGAATCGCACTCGCTCGCGTACTTCTCCGTGGACTCAAGCTGCGCCCCCTTTCAGACCACAGGACACAAATAGAATATGATGATAACGTAAAACTAGAAATAAGAAAATAACAGCAGTAGTAATTAAACTAGTAACTCAGGATAAGCCATAACTGCAAATGACAACCTTACTAGTGGTTAGTAGGGAATAAGGGAATGCCTGTATAAACCCTGTATATGTTATCATGGGAATCTATTTCATACGGATTATCCGAGATTTTATAGGGATTACATTCCCTTATTCCCTACTTACTAACCAGAGTGATAATGCTTTCTTTGCGTCTTCGCAGTGCCCTGTAAGCGCAAGGTGAAATCCCACAAGCAACCTCACCCCCTAAACCCTAAGTTTTGAATGCTCTCTGCCTTGTCACTCCTGGCGTTCCGCATGTGCAGATTCTTGGATCAGCAGTTAGGATCCAGCCTTCAGCAAGGTCTCAAATGCTGCGGCAACGCTGCACACGCCTAAATCTTGCGGGATGCCGCTGGAATCTGGGACTCCTTCACCGCCTCACAAGTCTTGCACGATTCCGTAGGGAGGTCACCACGTCGCTGAATCCTGGCCTGCCAAAACTCCTCTGTGAGTCTCAGCTGCTCTTCCTGAAGCAGCTGTCAGTTCCGTTTGCAAAAAAACAAAAACAATTGCCGTCTTTAAGAACAAACTGCCAGCAATCCACCCAGTCCCAGTAACAAGCCTTGCCTGCTCCATTTGGTAAGCTTTGTCCTCCGCTTGCCGAAACTTCCTGATCCACCTCAGTTGCAGCTGAGTAGTTTAACATAGTCAGATTATATGCTGTACATGAAATGCTATATAGTTTTACTCTGTATTGTATACTATATTGGGTACACTGGTATCCCCAATAAAACACTTCTCACCTCGGTTGCAGCTGAGCACCGGAGCCTTGCCTCGAGGATTCTGTGTTGGACCAGTCTCCACATTTAGGTGAAGTGAAGTATAGTAGGCCAAACTATACTCTACAAGTCCTATACTATAGGAGGACCCCCCACCCTGTAATAGTGGTTTTAATAAGAGTACAATATACCAGGACCCTTAATATAATCCTTATTATCCCTTAGAGCTACTGTTACAGGGTGGAGGTCCACTTGAACTATACTATATTCCTCCTCCTACACTATACTTTACGACACTGAGACATCATTTGTGGGGTTTTCCAAAGTTTGGGGCACTATTGGGGGTCCTTATAATAAAGATTATCGTGTTTGGGGGTCTGTATTGGGGTCCCCCTGTTTAGGAAAACTACCTCTTGATCACATGAGCCACAGGCTCTAAACTCCAGTATCCGCCCCTGATAACCCCTGTAGTAGACCCCTATATGATCCCCTATGTAACACCCGTCAAGGAGTTTGGACCCTCAACCCTAAACCCTAAATCCTAAACCCTGAACCCTAATCCCTAAACCCCAAATGACCCCTTCTAAGGAGTTGAGACTACAACTGACGTCAGCGAACCTCTGAGGATGGCACTGCTTGCGATTCCAAGCCTGGGTTTCGTTTCGTCCATGCGAGCGCTCCCCAAATTTGAAGTGGCAATGGTGGGATCTTGGATGTTTATAAATATATATATATCACAATAAACTACATGACATGATATATATATGTATATATACACATGTGCTTTTTGTTTGTTTCTGGCATGCCTTACCGAGCCTAGAGGGTTTGGGGTTCACAAGGGCTTCTGCCTGAAACCTATGATCATACAAAGCGGACATCCTTTCGAGCCGTTGCTGCTAGCGCGGTTGTCTTGAATAATGTAAATCATCCTAGATCCTGTGTAATGATACTGGATAATGATTTTGAAACTAAGAATATCAAAAACGACTCATGAAGCAATCGTAGCTGGCTGTAGGACCCCGCTCCAGGAAAAAAAAATGCTCCTAGGAAACCGAAAGTGAAAGTCCTGAGAGCCAAGCTAAGGGCAGCCAAGTAGTTACGCTTTTTGTCTAGCAATTGGCAGTTTCCAGAAACTTGGGGATCCCACCTAATTTTGGGAAATCCCCAAACAGCAGCAGCAGCAGCAGCAGCAGCAACAACAACAGGGACAGCGATTCCTAAACCCTAAACCCTTAAACCCTAAACACCTAAACCCTAAACCGTAAACCCTTAAAGCCTAAACCCTAAACTGAGTGAGCCCAGGGCCGTCGAGCAGGGCGAACGCGCCGAAGCCGGCAGGCGAGGCAGCTCTGGAGCCCAAAGCCTTTCCAGCGGGCGACAGAGCTCCAATCCCGCAGGCAGCTGCGGGCTGCGCGGTATGCCCGGCAGGCCGCTGGCGAATCACCCGTCACGTCGCCCTAGAATGCATTACCCCAAACCTTCGGGTAAATCGCACAAACCTCGAAATCGTTCTTTTCAGATGCGCTTCTCAGGCCCCTCCCAAGCAGCTTCCAGGGGCCTCCCAAAAGCCTCCCAGGCGCCTGCCAGGACCTTTTCAGAGGGGCTCAGGGCCTCTCAGGAGCCTCCCAAGGCTTTGAGGGGTGTCCGGGCCTCTCTAGGGGCCTGTCAGGCCTTCCAGGGCCTCTTCCCAAAGACACCTCTCAGGACCCTCCCAAGAAAAACTCAAGCCGCCCAACCAGCCTCCCAAGGACCCAGCCGGTGGCTTTTCAGAGAGGTCTCCCAACCTTCTTAGCCAATCAGAATTCGCTTCCATTGAGGATCAGGCGTTCAGAGGCCTCGAGCCAAACCCAAGGCCAAACCTTCTGCTCGTCGCAACT